AAAAAAAACAAAAAAAAAAAAACAGACTGCACAGTTGTAGTCAAAGCTTTAAAAAAGGAATCATTCAAAGTAAGATTTGACTGTACCTTGACCATGTGACCGTGGAACTTTTAGTTTTTGTCAGCTTGACACAACTAGAGACACCTGGGAAGAAGGACCCTCAACTGAGGAATTGCTTCCATCAGCCTGGCCTGTGGCTGGGTCTGTGGGGCATTTTCTTGATTAAGGTTTGGTGTGGAAGACTCAGATCACTGTGGCCAGTCCACCCCTCGATGATGAAACCTGCAAGCTAAATAGAACTGCCCATCCCATAAGTTGGTTTGGTCAGTGTTTTGGTCAGAGCAGTAAGAAATAAACTGGAACAGCAGTACTGAGGATTGAACCTAAGGCTTGCACATGTTCTACCACTGGGCTCCACCACTGGGCTATATACCCCTGTCCATCTACCGTGGAACCTAAATTCTGTCTTGTTTTTGTTTTGTTTGACATAGGATCTCAAATTTGCTATGTAGCTAAGGATGATTTTGAACTTCTGGTGCTCCTGCCTTTACCTCCTGAATGCTGGGATTCCAGGCATGTGCCACTATGCCCAACTTCCAGTCCTGGGATATAACTCAGGCCTTCATGGATCACAGGCAAACATTCCACCAACTGAGCTACATCCTCTGAAAAGTCTTATTTTTAAGACCTGAGGAGATATTATATAATGTTAAGTAAAGAGGTATAGGTCCATATTTTACACATGAAAAACTGGGAGAAAATACATCAAAATAGAAACAGCAGTTTCTGGGCAGTTAATGTTGTTTCTTCCTCCTCTTGCTCCTCTTATTCTTCTTTCTTAATATTTTGAAAACATTTCCCATATTTTTATGCATAAATTATTAGCATTCTGATATATTAAGTCAAACTATATGAAATTGCCTATATTTAGATAGGTAGATCTATTTTCATAGATCAAAGTGTTATTTTTTTTTTAGCTTAATAGAGTTGAACTTCATTGTTTATTTTTGGAGGATCTCTTAAATCTAGCTGGCCTGGAACTTAACCAGTAGCCCAGGCTAGCCTCAAAACTCTAAATCCTCCTGTCTCAACCTCTCTAGTGCTGGGATTGCAAGCATAGCTCACCATATCCAACAGAATTTCATATTCATTCTCTTTCTCTCTCCCTCTCCCTCTCTCTCATTTCTATCTCCGTGTGTATGTGTGTGTGTGTGCATACCTGTCTGCCTCTGTCTCTCTCTGTCTTTTGGTCTGTCTGTCTGTCTTTCCCTCCCTCTTTCCTGGCAGTAGATTTTTGTTGATAGAATGTAAGGGTGTTATTGATCCTAGTAAAGAGAGAGTGTGGGCTATGGAGCCTGATGCCTGGCCTGCCACTCATGACTTACTCTTCTCACAGCTCAGTTCCTCTATATATAGAATGGGACAGTTACAAGATTGTGAGGGTTAAATGATCAGTGTATGTAAACTGTTGAAAGTAGACCTGGAACACAGCGATGGATAAATATGGATTATTATACATTACTTAGTGAGAAAAATGGTGTGTGTTGTTTTAAAATAAATTGGTGTTTGTTTTGGTGGTGCTGGCAATTAAAGCCAAGCCTTCCATGCTCAGGTTGGTACCGCGTCACTGTCTCAGCCCAGCCTTGTCTGCGTTCTCATCGGGAGTTACGTGGATTGCGATAGGCAGTGGATAACCATGAACACATTTGGATTTGAGTTTACAATCTAGAGTATCACATATTTCTACAAGAAACCCTAGCTTTTGTGTATTCGGTTTTATTCTTTCTGTCTTAACCCTTTATCTGCTGCTCAGAATATATATATATATATATGTATTAGTTCCATGGAGAGTGATAGCCAGTCATAAAAACAAAACAAAACCAAGTTCTGCTCTATGTAAGCAGAATAGATTAATTTGTGCACCATTTTATAAAACTAGTTGTTGGGTTTGGGTTAGAAATCTTAAGTTTTTAATTTTTATTTCTGACTTCTTTTCCTTTTCTTTTCCTAGGATGATCCCCATACTAACTTACTGATTGAGGCTATAAAAAATGACCATCTCAGGCAGATGGAACGTGAAAGGTAACGTTGTGGCTGCAGTTTTAGAAAACGACACCTTTTCCTTGATCTTTACAGAACTTGTCAGTTGTGCCTGTTTCCCAAGCTGAGCAGTCACAGCATCCTCTCCTTAAGGATGCTTTCTCCTCCTTCGCTCGCTCGCGGTCCCCCTGCTGGCCCAGTCTTCTCATTAGGGTGTGTGTCTAATGGGGGGAGGGTATGCCCAGGCCCCTGCTCCACCACTGCCTGTGTCTCTAGCCCTTTCCTTGCTTTTTGTTTTGAGGCAGGCTCACTAAGTTACCTGGCCTACCCTGAGTTTACTCAGTCACCCAGGCTGACTTTGAACTTGTGATCCTCTTGCCTCAAACTGGGATTAGAAGCCTACTTTACCAGGCCTGGTCTTATTCAGCAATTCTTAACCATTTCTCTGTAATTCCCTTTCCCCACATTTGATACTATATTGCAATTTATTTACCTTTATTTCGTTTTAATTGTCTTATGTATGTTTGTCTTAACTGCCAATTAGATATCAAGCATGAAGAAAAATCCATATTTATTTTATTATTTCCTCTCTCTAATATGGACCACAGTTGTTTTCTCTTCTTTATTTTTATTTTTCAATATGTACAATGAATTTTGATTATATTAACCCCTTTATCTTCTTCTTCTCAATAAGTCTCCCCCCACTATCATGTAATGTGTGTGTGTATTTATGTGTGCATGTACATGAGTGTGTGTGTGTGTGTATGTGTGTGTGTGTGTGTGTGTGTGTGTACCATTTCTACTTCTAACACCAAATATATGGGACTTTTCCACACCATGATTGTTCAGCTCTCTGGACATCAAGTAGGTGTCCAGCAGTTCACTTTTGATGCAGACCCTACAGGTTAAGGGCTCAGTTCCACAGCCTCTTCATCCCCCAGTACAATCAACAGCCATAAGCTCCCCCAGTACAATCAACAACCATAAGCAGAGGCCTTCTGTTCTGACTGACATCCTATGAGACAGGTTTTTACCAACTCTCCTTAGACTCTGTAATTTGCCTTGTATAAATGGAATTATATGCTGGTTTTCTTTTTTAAGATTTATTTTTATTTTATGTGGATCAGTGTTTACCTGCATGCATATGTGTATACCACATGCATGCCCAGTGCCAATGGAAGTCAGAAAAGAGTATCAGATCCCCTGGAACTGGAGTTACAGGCAGTTATGAGCCACCATGTAGGTACTGGGAATTGAACCCAAGTCCTCTGGAAGGCAACTAGTGTTCTTTAACCACTCAGCCACCTCTCTAGCCCCTTGAGTCCATTTTTAAAACTGCTGCATTTATAAATCCAAGAAAGATAAAGATAAATAAAATCTATCACTGTAAATTGGTGTATCCATTTTGGAATACAACGGATTTTCCAGATGTTGACAATGGGCGTTTTGTAGTACATAAATATGGTGCATATATACACATACTTACATACTTTCAAAAGTAACATACACCTGGGCATGGTGACCCAGTCCACATCTGCACATGGATCTCTCTGAGACTGAGATCAGCCTGGTCTACAGAGCAAGTTCTAGGTCAGTAGGACTACAAAGTGAAACCCTGTCTCAAAAACCAACACAGGCAATATGTTATGATTCTGTTTTAATAACACACAGTTTCTTTTTGTGGGTTGTATGCATGTGTGGTTTATGTGTCTGCATGTGTGTGTGTGTGCCTGGATGTGCAAGTATAGAGGCCAGAGGTCAATGTTGCATTTCCTTCTCTATCACTGTCCACCTTTGCTCACGGAACCTGGAGCTCAACCAGTGGCTGGAGTGACTGTTCAGTGAGTCCCCAGGGTCCTCATCTCTGCATCCCAGTGCTGAGATTACAGGCACATGCACCTGGCTTCATACATGGGTGCTAGGGAACCCATAAGGCATCTTCCCAATCCCATACATCATTTCTTTAATGACTGTTGACACCTCACTTTCCTGTCTGTAGGGAGGTTATGTAATTTAGCTGCAGAGCTTTGTCTATGTTTCATTATTTCTTTACCTTGTCAGAAGGCATCATCAGGCAGGAAGAGAAAGGCCCACTGGTATCCAGGAGGCACTCACATTGCTAGTCGTGTTTGCTAGTCGTTTTTAGTCAGAGTTACAGACATGTTTCTCTGTACTGGGAGTGGCAGTGCTGGGACTGAACCAGACTTAGTCATGCTAGGCCAGCGCTGTAACACTTGAGCTGATCTCAAGCCCTTGTTTTGAGGGACAGGGTATTACTGTGTAATCCAGAGTAGCTTGTGACTGGCTGGCCTCAAACTCATGATCCTCCTGCCTCCACCTCCCTTGTGCTAGAATTAGATGTACAGCCACTCCTAGCCTTTTTTTTGTTTGGGTTTCATTTTAGTTTTTGTTTTGGGGTGTTTTTTGGTATTGTTTTTGTTTTTAGAGATGTGGTCTCTCAATATAGTCCGGGCTGTCCTGGAACATGCTGTGTAGACCAGGCTAGTCTTGAACTCAGAGATCCACCTGCATTTATTTGCCTCCTATAGGAGGCATGCCCTGCTCACTCCTAGGCTTTAGAAACACATTTCTTATGTGGTTGCCTGTCCTCTAGTAAGCTTCTGTGGTATGTTAGTTTTGATAGATAATCTTGTATCTTGAGAACTAAATATAAATTACTTTCATGTCACATCTAACTATAACTTTTTGTTTGTGTGTGTATAGGAAAGCCATGGCAGAAAAATACATCATGACAGCTGCAAAGCTCATCGCTCCTGTGATTGAAGCGTCCTTTGCTGTGGGTTATAACTGGTAAGGGAAAGTCAGGAACACTCTGAGTGTGCTGTGATCGAAGCATCCTTTGCTGTGGTTATAACTGGTCAGGGGAAGTCAGTAATACTCTGTGAGTATGCTGTGATCGCCTTCTGTGTTGGCATCAGAAAAGTGAACACATGATGGTTAGGATCCATCTGTACTTCCTATGCCAATTATCTTATATGTTAAGGTTAATGTCGACGATTGTGAAAGTTCTCGTAAGGACTTTTCTTATTACTCATGTGGCTAAGGCCAGTGTGCTGCCACTGTTACGATTCTTTTGTTGTAGAAATTCCAATCTGTGCTTTTTTTAAATTTTTCTCTTTTCTCCTTTTTTCTGCCTTAATTTTGGCATTAGTATTAAACTTTCTATCCTGAGTAATGGCTCTAAAGAGGCCATTGTCTCCATGTATACTCTGTTTCCTAGAAAGAAGTAAAGCATTTTAGGATAGGTAAATCCTAGAACATTGTTACATGAGCAGGGGTTGAATTGTTTCCTGTTCTTACACCCAGCATGGGGTTCTCTCTGATCGTGTCTCTGACAGGAGATCATTTAGTTTCTGCTTGGAATCTACTTTTTATTGGCTTGATTTTGTTTAAATAACTGTAAGGAGTTAAAAATTCTTTCTTGTATTGAATACAGATCTGACTTTTACATAATTCTTATTTTGAACTTTTAAACAAACATAGCCCCTTACCAGAATCTTTAAAACCTGAAGTACACACACATGGTTTCTAAAAGGTAAAGGAAGCCTGGAAGCATCCCAGGCCTGATTTTCCGATTGTTTCTCATTTCTTACTGTGAGAAAGAACAAGTAGCCTCTTATTGAAAGTCTTTCAGTGTGGTTAGCACTAGGAGTCAACTTTTTAATTTGTGCTGGAGGCTTCAGTTTGGCCCATGATGTTTTTTTGTTTTTGTGTTTTCCGGTTGCCTGCTTACCTTTCTTTCTGTCTGTCTGTCCTTCCTTTCTTCCCCCCTCTCTTCCATTCTCCTTTCCTTCCTTCCTTTAGACAGGTCTAGTGAACTCACAGCATCCTCCCTCAGCAGGGATTGCAGAGCCGCCCTGCCTGACTGACTCTGACCTGGCATCCTTTGTTCCTTTGTGGTTCAGCTTTCCTCACCCTCCCTCACTGAATCCCTCAGTCTTTGCTTTTGTTTCTGGAAGGGTTCCTGTTGTGACCTGGGGCTGAAGGCCATCTTGGGGTCTGCTTGGATTTCTTTCCCAGTTTGAACCCATTCGTTTAACAAGCAGTAGCTTCATTTTTCTCTTGATTATATCTTAATATCTGTCTGTGTGGGTCTCCCTGGGGTATCCTCATTCTTTCTCACTGTTTGAGGCAGGGTTCTCAAGAGCGTTGCCTCGGTTGGCCTCTGGGCTCCTCTGCCCTCAGTTTCCTGAGTGGTGGGACCACAGGTGGGCCCTCGTGTGTCCAGCGTTGACTGGTCATTGTGTCAGGTTTAAGGTCCTAGGCTGTCCCTTTGTTCTGAGCTCCGGGCACTTGTGTGCCTTGCTGACTAGCTTTGCTGGTGACTAGAAGGCTATTGCTACTTGTCTGTTATCTGTAGGTGACTTGCATTTTTTTCTAAAGGTTTCAGTTTTGTTTCTCTGAAATTCTATAACCATGTGTTTAAATTTGTCTTTTTATTTTTAGTCTTGTTTCTGTTCAACTGAGGGAGACATATAAGTTCTTTGATGATTTGCTCCCTTCACATCTTGTTATGGATTTCCATCAGACTTTAGACTTCTATGTTGCTTTCCTTCTCTGATTTGGTATTTCCTAGCTCTCATGTTTCTTTGATTTCTGAGACTTCCTTGGATTTCTCACCCAAACTTCATTTTTTGTGTGCTTTTATTTTTTCAAGAGCACCGTTTTTCTGTTGTTTTTTGTTATTGTTGTTGTTTTCTTTTTGTTTTTGTTTCTACTGGGGTGGGGATGGATTATGGAGGATGAGGAACAATCTTCAGTATTTTATATTTTTAGAAGATTATTATAGTAGTTGTCTTAGCATTTTTGCTGCTAGTTTACAAGTGACATACTGAAGATTTATCAAGCTCACAACTAGTGTGTCTGAAATTTTCCTCTAAATGAAAGTTTCATATTTTACTTTTTTTTAAAATTGATTCTTTGGGAATTTTACATCATTTACCCCAACCTACTCATCTCCCAGTACCCCACCCCCCATATTCACCTCTCCCTCTTGTAATACCTTCCCCAAAGGAAAGCTAAAAAATAATAATAAGATAAAGTAATACAGATAAATAAATAAATAAATCTTTAAAATATGTATACACACATAAGTATATGTGTGCATGTATCTCTCTCTCTCTATATATATATGGGTGTGGATATATATATATATATATATATATATATATATATACATATATGGAGGGGCTTTATTAGAGTGACTTACAGGCTGTGGTCGAGTAGTCAGCAATGGCTGTCTCAGGTCTGAAAGGTGGGAATTCAGTAGTTGTTCAGTCTACGGGCTGAATATCTCACAGTCCCAATCTGACGTTAGAGTCCTGAGGATTTCTGCTGAGCTGCTGGTGTTCAGTATACATTGGGATCTCAAAGTTACTTCTAATACAGGCACAGCATCGCTTCAGAGATGAACTTGCCAGAGAGAGTGAGGGCAAATCAGGAAAAAGCAAAAGCTTCCTTTTCCCTGGTCCTTTAATGTGGGTTGCCACTAGAAGGTGTGGCCCAGATTTAGTGGGAGTCTTCCCATCTCAAATAATCCAGTCATGCAAATCTCCCACAGTCGTGCCCAGCAGCTTGTGTTTTAGTTCACTGTGGGCTAGTCAAGTTGACAAGCAGGATAACGTCACAGTGGTCCAGCCTGGAACTCACTTGCTCCTTCTACCTCAGCCTCCCAAGTGCTAGGATCACAGACATAGGGACAGTGTGTCCCACTCCCTCGTGTCATCTCTAATCTTTCAAGTCACTCAAGCCAGGTGTTCCTTTCACCTTGCTTCAGACCACGGTGAATATTCTTGCTTGAGTGTATTTGTTTTGAAATGATAGCCTCCCATTTAACAAAAAGATAGGCTTGCTTAGGACATGTTCTCAGACAGCTGTGACATAGGAAATGAGCATACCGATACTGGAGTCTATCCAGAGAGATTCACCTCAGTCCATGTGTGGTGCAGCCTGACCTAATAGGAGGGATCGAGGCAGAGCACTTAGTCAGCACATCCTGTCATGTGAGCTCACCCTCATGGAGTTTTTAATCTTGACTTAACATTTTTAAATATGAGTGTTAGTTTGTTTTAATCAAAGAGCATAGTCTCCTACTATTTTTTTCTTAAATTTTTTAATTATTTTATTTTATATGTATGGTGTTTTGCCTGCGTGTATGTCTGTGCACTATGTGTGTGCCTGGTGCTCTCAGAGGCAGGAGAGGACATCAGATCCCCTAAATCTGGAGTTACATAACTGAGCCACCATGTAGTTGTTGGGAATCAAACCCAGGTTCTCTTAAGAGGTTAAGAAGTGCTATTAACCAGAGCCATCAGTCCCTTACTATAGTTCTTATCATGAAGGAACTTTCAAGATTTCATTTGCAACCTAAAATGTGTCTTATTTTCCTATTTGTTATCTAGATAGGCACCCATTCCTTTATATGAGACCTTCTGATTTAAAAAAAAAAAAAATGGCGCCAGGCAGTGGTGGCACACGCCTTTAATCCCACCACTGGGGAGGCAGAGACAGGTGGATCTCTGGGAGTTTGAGGCCAACCCGGTCTACAGAGCAAGTTCAAGGACAGGCACCAAAACTACACAGAGAAACCCTGTCTCGAAAAACAAAACAAAACAAAAATGCTGGAAGGTGGTGGCTCAGTCCTTTAATCCTAGCACTCAGGAGGCAGAGACAGGTGAATCTCTTAGTTCAAGGCCAGCCTGGTCTACAGAGCAAGTTCCAGGATAGCCAGGGCTACACAGAGAAATCCTGTCTCGAAAAACCAAAAATTCTGCCTATAATCCCAGAATATGGGAGGTGGAGATCAGGAATTCAAGGCCATCCTTAACTATATAACAAGTTTGTGGCCAGTCTGGGCTACATGAGACCCTATCTCAAAAGCCAAAAGCTTCCCCCACCCATTTTTTTTTTTTTTTTTTTTGCTAGTTCTCAGATAACAGGAAAGTCAAGTGTAAATTTGATTTTAGTAGCTTGAAAAAAAAAGTATATATTCATAAAATTACCTTATATAATCTTTAAAAAATTATAATTTGTAGGAGCAAAGGAAGACCTGGAGGAATGTACAGTTCACCTGGGCACATACTGAGGACTCTAAGGCCTTGGACCTAGGGAACTGTTGTCCTGTTGGTAACAGCCTCTATGGGCCAGGCTGAAGGGGGCTGGCAAAGCTTTCCTGGGGAGTCAGAGTGATTGGTCAGCATGTGCAAAGACAAGCAACTGCAATTTCCTTCTCCAGTGCTTACTGCCTGAGACTGATCACCCACAGACTTCCTACCAAGACTAGCCAACCCCATGTGCTCTACTGTACCTCATAAATGTGTCTTTCCTGTCCTCACCACCTCTAGTCAGGGTTCCAGGACTCAAACCTTTCAGGATTTGGCAGTGATTGACATATACATACACACACACACACACACACACACACACACACACACACACGTATGTGTGTATGTGTGTTTATAGGTGAATATTTTATATCCATGTTATAATATACACATGTAAGCTATATTTGTCCATATAGCTTTTATATGTACATAAATATACTTCCAGATAGAGAAAACTTAGTGGACAATACTCTTTGGAAACAACCTTAGAGTTTATGATTGATATTAAAGACTTTCTCAGGCCTCTGTCTCTGAACCTGCCATTTGCCCACCATCTTGGGATCTGTTGCCATATTCCGTCTGAATTCAGGAAGTCCGGGAGGCTCTGAGCATCCTCTGTCACCCTGTGATATGCTGTTGTGAAGAGAACCATAGGGAGGACACTGGGTGTCCAGAAGGCAGAGATGG